AGACACCAGGTAGGGAAGTGAGGCAGGGTATAATGTAGTCTGATTAAAGAAAACAGAAAAGGGCTTATCTAAAAGTTACCTAAACTGGGGTGGCACACATCTTTAATTTCAACACTCAGGAGACAGAGAAAGGCAGATAGATCTCTGTGCGACTGAGGTCAGCTTGTCTACATAGCAAGTTTCAGGCCAGCTTGGGTTATAGGGAGACCCTGTCTCAAAAAATAAAATGAAAGTTACCCAAGGAAACTGATTTTTTTTCTTCCTCTTCCTCCTCCTCCTCTTCCTCCCCCTCCCCCTCCCCGCCCTCCTCCTTCCTTTCTTCTTCATGACTGGGTCTCACTCTAGCCCAGGCTGGCCTTGAGTTCACAGCGCTCATCCTCCCTCAGCCTCTGAAGTACTGGGATTGATTATAAATATGAGCCCCATGCCTGGCTTCCAGCAAATTCTGGAGAACATTGCTGAAGTTTACTGTGTAAAGGCTAAGCTTGGACGTGTGATGACTGTACACCCAGTTATGAAGTAGCTGAGAGTTGAGGATGATTTTAAAATTGAGTATGATTTTAAAATTGAATATAGATCTTGTCTTTAGGGCTGTAACATCTGGAAAAAATAGACCGTGCAAAGACAGGAACAAAGTAAGATACTAATTTTGCTAATTTTAAAGTTCCATTTCCTCCATGGAAAATATGTCCTAAGACTAAAGATGAGCAGTGGGGGGTGGGAAACACTGAAATTGTCTCTTCCAATTCCTGAAATTATTGTAAATACACATTTGAGCAATTCTCTATCTTCTTTCAAGATCTGTCCTCTAAAGCTAAAACAGTAGCTTCAGAAAGAATGTGTAGAGATATTTAAATATTAACAGTCACTCTTGGGCCTGGATTATTCCTAAATAATTTGTTCTCCTCCAGGTCCCACACTAAAAATTCTACAGGAGTCACTTTTCTGAAGATTAATGCATCCAAATTGCCTACTGGTCTGCTCTGTTTCCATCCACTCCTCACCTCACTTTCTGATAGCAACAATTGAAATACTGTAGAGTAGGAACCAAGAGTCCTTAAAGCAAATGAATCTGAATCTGGCAACATCAAAACTATAGCTTTGCCCTTAAATTCTAAGGAAAAAGTACTCTGAGAAAAAGCCCACTTTGCTATTCACAGCCTGCATTTTTTTTTCTCCCTTGATTTTACTGGATTGCGTAGTCCAGAAAGAGGTAGGGTATCTTTCTTAAAACTACTAAGTGGCTTCTAAAGTACAAGATAAGCCTTCCGATTAATATTCTCACAATAAGTCAATTTTACAGTTAGGGAAAGAGCATCTTTTAATATTAAAGATGAAGAGACCATCAGCTTTTCAGGAACCAGATATTTATCATTCTTACCTTAAAGCGTCACACAAGGATGTGGCTGCATGTAAAATCTTTCCTTACTTGGACCTGATCTAGTCTCAGTTTTTTTGGCAGAGGAACAGTATGGAATTGAAGGGGTGTGTGGGTGTGTGTGTGTATCCTTGCTCCTATCTGCTGTGTGATTTGGGCAAGGTACTAACTATGTATGGGATAGTTTCGCACCAGCTATGACGGGAGTCACAAAAAGTCAGTAAAGCCAAAACTGAAACAGAATGATCACCAAATCATTCTTCCAGCCTCATATGTGCTTTAATGATGCTTGGAAGTTATCTCACTCAAGGATAGGATCCCACTGGTGACTTTGATTTCTGTTTACTTAATGGGTCCAACATAAGATGGCATGGCCAGAGACTTGTAGCTGTACTTTCACAACTATCAAAGGAATTTTCCTTCCTTAATGAAACTTCTACTATATTTAAAAAAAAAAAAAAGAGCAGATTCAATATACATGAAAGGTCAGGGGTGAAGGGACTCTGCTTAAGTAAGTTTTGAATACAATTGCTGTTTAGTTTTTGCAGCCTTCAGAATTCTTCTTTAAGTGAATAAATGTGTAGGGGAACTCTCCATTACCTCAATCAGCATCTAATACCTACCTGACACTTAGAATTAAATTAGAGAAACAAAACTGGATACTCTGAGACTTGAGGGCTGATTATACTCCTAGAGCTAAGAGTAGGTTTAAACTCTTCCTTTATCCCATTTAAATCTAACTAGGTATAAACTCTCCATTACTGAGGAATAGAGGGGTGTCTGCAGAGGTGGAGGTTCCTCTTGATGTTCTTGGACAAGGAAACCTAATCCTTTTTTCTGACACACATGGTTGCAATAGAAACTGATCTTCAACTGCCAGTCTGGTTTTAATCTGTTGTTTCTAGCAAGGAAGGATTTGCAGGGAATGTTAAGAAGAGAGCAAAATTACCAGAACTTACTATAAAATAAAAGTGTTGATGAGAAATTAATTTTTAAACAAGTGCTTGAGAGCATAAGCGTGAACATGTAGACACATGCACGCACACACACACACACACAGTGCTTGCTCTAAGTTTAGGAGTATAAAGTTTAATGTTTTAAGTATGTTTGAAAACTAATGATTAATTTTTATCTATTTTTAAGAAAGTACTTCAGCTTACTCAAAAGATTGCAGAGGACAAATGTTGCCATTAAACACAGCAGTGTATCTTCTAAACAACGCTCTCAAAAAAGGAGGTGTTCCATAGGTGAAGTTTCTATATAATCAAGTTTACCATTGTATAATATAAACTTTTAAACATATTAATCATTCTGTATAGAAATGTTTTTTAAAGCATACTATACATTCTTTCTTTAAAGGTATCTTTCTCTGAAGATTCAGTAACTATTATTAAAAACATTTGTTAAACTAGGCTAACCACCTGTATACTGTTCTTTTGGTCGGAAGATGGTGGCTTTTTGGTCATCATCCCCCAATATCAGAATGCTATTGAGTGCCAAAGCAGATAGAACTAGTTCTCAAAGGTCTTGTGTCTTTTCTGCTGTCAGATGCTTCTTGTAGCTGTTCAAAGCGTTCCAGGCTTTGATCACGCCATATTAATTTGTTAAAACCTAATTTAGATTTAAAAGATATATCTACTCCCTGCAAGGTGTTTTTCTAAGTGATAGGAGAAATGTTAATATTTATAATTTTTATAGAATTATAAATAGCATATAATCCCTGAACAGGAAGCAACTTAGCTGAGTGTCACTTTAGAGTTACAAGCTCACCATCTGTGCTAGTGTCAACTTGACACACTTGGGTTGAGGGAGTCTCAGTTGGGGAATTTCCTCTATTGGACGGGATGTGGCCATGTCCATGGGGCATCTTCTTGATGAGTGATGTGAGAGGGCCCAGCCCACTGTGGATGGTGGCATCCCTGGGCAAGTGGGCCTGTGTTGCATAAGCAGGCTGAGCAGGGGCCAGGGGAGCAAGTCAGTAAGCAGCATTCCTTCATGGCCTGTGCTCCAGCTCCTGACTCCAGGTTTCTGCCCTGAGTTCCTACCTTGGGCTCCCGGATGAACTGTGACCCGGGATATGTAAGCTAAATAAACCCTTTCCTCCCCAAGTTGGTAGTGGTCAGAGTATTTTGTCACAGCAATGAAGAACAAACTAGGACACCATCATAATGTGAAAAAACAAAACATTTTTTATCTCTAGTAATGTCTTAAAGTTTACAAATAATTTAATTTTTAAAATCATGATGCTGAAGTTATTAGGTTTATGTACTGATAAGCCTTCTTTACCTAGAATATGTCTGGGAAACATTTCCCATGAAAATGTTACCAGTCACATGAGCCTCAGCAGAAGACTAAGACTAGTGCATCAGTCTCCTGGTCAGGTTTGATTTTGAAATCTGGATGGCTAAGGATGTCGTTCGAATTCCTAGGGTCATAATCTAGTTAATATGCAGCTATAAAAATGTGATACTTTGTTTAGGCAAAGTCGTTAGGACGACTAAACACCTTGGCATCTGTAAAAAGCCCATGTTACAATGGATGTGGTACATCACTTCCAGCAGGGCCTTCTTCCTGGGTTTCAGCAATACCACATGCTTTGGTTCTCCACTATCCTGCAGCTACTTTCTTTCCATCACTTGACCACTTTTTATTCCAAACTCTAGCTGGTTGTCTCATTTTCTTGACTTCTATTACTATTACACCTTGAATTTAACTGATAAAACCAAAATCAAATCGATCTGATCTGTCACGGAAGGAACCCTGACTTCTGCGTCCTCTGACCTTCATACCTACAATGGAGCTTAACTTCATGGGCTCTTGCACACTTATTTTATGTATGATCTGATTCCGTTTTGTCTTCTGCTAGCTCCTGAGAATACATGCATCTTATACACAACTCCTCACCCCTTCGCAATTTCCAATACGTGTTCCTTGGACGAATATAACACAACGGAATTGTGCCAAATCTATCTTAGTCGTACTTTTACTGAAAATCTCTGAATCTGAGTTTTCCAGGTACACTGATAGAAGTTAACTGTAGAAACACAAAACGGTTTGACTAGTATCATCATCATCATCTTGAAGCTGTTCTGGAACCACTGTGAAGTACTGACAGTCTTAATCACTGTCCCCTCCAAACTTGGTACTGGAGTCTACAGAACCTTTTCAGTGTGCACATGGATTTATCTGCTACCCATTAGGCTGTACCTTCCTAAAGGCAAGATACATACATGTACTCATACGTTCCCTGCTTCGCTCAGGGCACTACTCTAGAATAAGTTGCCGACCCAATAAACTGACCATGTCGATCTCAAAATGCCTCTCATGGTCCTGGAGAGAAGCAGGAAGGAGGCTTCACTCTCAGAGCCATGTATAAAAAGCAGCCTCCGAGCGGCTGGGTCTTAAAAATAACCTCTAAAGCGCTGCAACACAGACCCCCCCCCCCCAGAAGATTCTCCCCGAAGGAAGCCAGCACGAGGAGGGTGAAGCCCAGTCACAACTCTTTGCAGCCCCCACCTGCTCTGAAAACACCAGGATCACGCCAGTAGCCTCAGCAGCCAGCACCCGCCTTAAGGACAAGCGCATGCGCAGCAGCAAGCAAAAGCCACCGGGGGACCGACCGGCTGTCCCAGCAGTCACTCGGGGCAAGGTGGCTCCGCCCTTCCCAAGATGGCGCTGTACTCCATGCGGAAGGCGCGTGGGTGCTGGACCTGCATCCGGGCACTGCACCGAGGATCCGAAGCTACTCCCGTTCCCCAGGTAACCCGCCCCGGCCTTCTGGCGGCCTCCTGTCCCGCGAGCGTCCTCCGAGCGGCCCATCTTCCCAACCTCCACCTAGTCCTCTCTTCCTGTTTCCCAGAAAAAGTCCGTGCCCCGTCCCTGCTAAGGTCCACTGTCCTATGACTGTCCCGCCCCGCTCTGAGCGTGGCTACGTTGCAAACACACGTGATAGCGTGTGGGTGAGCTGGTGGAACGCAAGTTCGCCGCGGACCACGTGCCACCGTTGCTCGGCAACGGGGGAAGCCGACTCTAGGAGGAGATGCGTTCTACCAGTGCTCTCCTTCTCTCGGTTGTGTTACTGTTATTCTCCTTTCCCTAACAGCTACCCAGAGGTGCAGTGGGGAAATCAGAGACGGCATCTTTAGAAGTGGTCTGTTGAGATTGGTACAGCCTCCCGACCTCCTTCCTAGCAGTATGGAATTTGAGCAAGTGTCCCTTAGTGATCTTTAGGCGTCTTGTATCTACCAGGCTCCGAAAATCAGCATCAAGTGGTCAGTGTGTTTCATACTGTTCCTCGCCTGACAGCACAGCAGTTCCCATGACTGTGGGGCTGAGAACATGGCATGTTGTGTTGAAGCCCATCATATTTGTACTTTTACCCTTGTAGTCAAAAGGTGTAGATGTCTCAGAAGACAGCACTTTGACACAGATTGTTACAGAAATAGGTTATGAGAGCTAGAAGGAAATGTGAGATTCTGTGATTAGGTGGTTTCTTGACATCTCATATGTTCGTTGTCATATTGTAAGTGATGTATTGAAAGTTCCTGGCCTTTTCTGCCATTTGCTAGCTGTGTTATAGAAGAAGAAACACTATCTCTCTGGGTTTATTGTCTTTAGCAAATAGAGGAAGAATGGGGCTCATTGGCCTGTTGATGTACATCGCGGGATTGGAAAATCTATGGGATTATGAAGATCAAGTACAGCCAGTGAAAATAAGTGAAAAACAATATGCAAGTTTATTTTTCTGATCATCCCACAAATTACTCAATTCTCTGAACTTCTGTTTTCTTCATTAATGTAAGCCTCACAAGATTCTTTTAAGGATAAAAGGCACAATATCCTGGGAAGCTCTTTGTCAGCAAACAGCTATTCAAAAATTACTTTAAATTTTAGGAAACAGATAAGAATTTATTCCAGCTCTGATCATCAAATGCTGTTTTCCTTGAAGTTTGGCAATTTGATTCTTCAGAATTGGAATTATTTAATAAATAACACATTAATGTGTATGCTACCAAATCCCTTCATTCCAAACTATGGAACTGATGATGTCATAAGACTATAGGATCAAAGAAAAAAAGAAAAACAAACTAGAGCTTACTAATCATTGTCCGGAGATGTTTAGGACTGAATTGTAACTACTAAAGAAAAGAGTTCTTTACACCTCTACTTTTGCTTCCGTGGTGTTTATGAGTAGTAATCAAAAATTATTTTAAGATCTAAAACTTCCAGGACAGGTTCGTGTTTTGAAATTATATATATCTTTTAAATTTTATGTATATGAGTATATTGCCTACATGTGTGTAAGTGCACCTGTTTCATGCAGTGCCTGGCGGAGGTCAGAAGAAGGTCTTGAATTTCCCTGGCACTGGAGTTATGAACAGTTATTAGCTGTCTTGTGGGTGCTGGGAATCAAACCTGGGTCCTCTGCAAGAGCAACCAGTGCTCTTAAGCACTGAGCCGTCTTTCCAGCCCTGTGTTTTGAAATTCTTAATTTAACTTTAAGTAAAGTAAGAATTAAACAGTAGAGTATTGTTCCTGAAGTGTTATAATGCATATCAGTAAAAAATGATGGCATGAATGACCAAGGCATGCCCAGCCTGATGGCAAAGGCCTCTAGTCCTGCTATTCTGGAGGTGGAAGTGGAGACAGGAGGATCACAATTTCAAGACCAGACTGAGCTACAAAGTGAATTCAAGGTCAGTCTTGGCACTTTAATGAGACTCTCTCAAAAAGTAAGAAGACAGCTGGGGATATAGTTTAGTGATAGCATGCTTACCCAGCTTGGAGGACCTATGTGCAAAAACACTCATGCAGTCTTTTGAAGGAATGGAAAAGTTTAAAAATTGCATTCAGTGTGGGTACAGTTATGTTTTATACATAAGTGTATACATAGGGGGAAAAAAAACCTGGAAGGAAACAACTTTAACTTTTGTGTTGCTCTTGGTTCTTCCTAACTAGTGGATTAAAAGTAAGTGAAGTTTGCTTTAAGCATTCATTTCACATGTTTTAAATTGGAAAGTATATCACTTTTATAACCAGAGGAACTTGAAAGCATAAATCTCCATCTGAACCTGTAGCCACTGACACTGTTGGATCATTTTAGGTTTCTGAGACACATACTTGTCCTGCACTGCCATTATTAAAGTGGCCTTAGAAAAGGACTCCTAAAAATTTATGGCCACTTTTCCTGTGTGTGTCTTCTTTTTCTATTGAAAAGCTTCCTTTGAAGTCAAAGGGATTTTGTGAACAGATGCAGAAATATGTGAAGGAAGAATTGGATTCTTAAGCCAGATGCACTGGACATTTTTATGACATCTCATAACCTTTGTAAGAAAACAAAGATTATTTTGCAATCGCATATTATAATAGAAAAAATGTATATTTATTGTATAGAAGGTTTTATCAAAACCAAGGAATAGTTAGGTTACTTGGTTATTGATTTGGGCTGTGCACTTGCCCCTTGAGGTGGGACCAAAAAAAATGGACCATGATGTACTTTGTTAGACACTGATTGATAGAGCACTATGAATCCCAAGTTGTTTCAATGTTCTGGAAAAAGAAACAGCATCTTGAGTAAAAAGCTTGGCAGTCCTTGGTTATCTCAAATACAGGTGTTTTCTCCCCAAGGCTAGATATAAAATCAAACTCAAAACAAGGAAAAAGGGCCTAGAGGTGTGGCTAGTGCTTGCTTAATATGGGAGAGGTCCACAGTTTAGTCCACAGCATCTTAAGGAGGAAGGGGAGAAAATAGAAATAATAGCATATTGTACCATATTCATTGTGGGATATCTACAACTTATATGAAAATGGTTTATTTTGTCAGGTGTTACTTGACAGAAAACTGTTGAAATCTGATGAGATGAGAGTAATCACAAAGTCAGAGGAATGAAAATCTGACTTGATGTTTAAAGGCTGGTGGTATTAAGTAAATTTAAGCTTGTCATCGTTTACCAAACACAGAATCCATTCTGCTTTAAGCCCTTATTCACGATTATATTGTGCAAACAGTGAAATATTCTTGGTTCAGTAGATTTTTGCAAGAATATTTATCGTCATTCAATTCAAGTATAAAAAGTCCTCCTGATCCTAGGTTTGGCCAATACTGACATTCTGATTTTCCTATTGATGATTAAAATATAGCCATTAGATGAAGTAATCATGTTTCAAAAGAGAAAAAAAAAGAGGCACTATAATAAATCTGATCTTGTGATAAAACTTTTATTGTAAAGTAACTTAAGATTTACCAATTTGCAAAATTAGTCCAGGAAAATTCCTGTATAGCCTTCATTAATCTTTGTCTTATCTATTCATAGTACAGTTATCAAAACCAAAAATTTAACTTTTGTACAGTACTTTTACTTTAGCTGTAGGCAAATTCAAATTTCATCAGTTTCTCTAGCAGCCATTTTCTTGATGTGGAATCAAATCCAGGATCCCATATTTAGGCGCCCTATGTTCTCCAACATGTGATACTCTCCCAGTTTTTCATGAAGTTTTTCATGACCTTGCCGCTGTTGAAGAGTACTGGTCAGATATTTCATAGAATGTTTCAATTTGAGTTCTCCCAGTGATTTCTCATGATTAGACTGGAGTTAGGGATTTTTGGCAAGAATACTCAAAGTGATGTTTATAACAAGGTAATAAGATGGGTATTAGCACTTTATTTTAAGCACTAGAAAATAAACTTTAAGAGGTTGGAGAGATGACTCAGTGGTTAAGAACACTTGCTGTTCTTTTAGAGGACCTGGATTTGATTCCCAGCACCCACCTGGCAGATAACTGTCCATAACCCCAGTTACAGGGGATCTGATGTTCTCTTCTGGCCTCTGTAGGCTTTGCACGGCATGAGTACACTCACACACATACAGGCAATACATTCATACATGTAAAATAAATATAATAAAATATTTTAAAAGAAAAGAAGCTTTAAGTCCAGTTAATTAATGGTGGAACTGGGATGATAGCGTTTACTGTGGGCATCTCACTCCCTATTTTGTGATCAGTGTTGGTTAGATTTCTGTGATCATAATGATATTAAATTGGGGTGTTTACAGGGACTTTTCCCTCAGTTTTTTGCCAGTTTTGTCTATTCAGTGTGCAACATCAGTTAATTGGCCTGAAAAGCTTTCAGGAGCTGCTACCACAGCCTGGTCTGTTAATAATTGTCCCAGTTTGATCAGACTATTTCATCTCTGTGCTTTCTTTTTAAATTTTATTTATTTTTATTTCATCTCTGTGCTTTCTTTTTAAATTTTATTTATTTTTATTTTATGTGTATGAGTGTTTTGCCTGCATGTGTGTAAGTGCAACTATGCATGCAATATATACAGAGGCCAGAAGAGGGCATCAGAGCCCCTGGTACAGGAGTTATGGAGAGTTGTGAGCTACCATGTAGTGTAGGTTTTGGGAACCAAACCCAGGTTTTCTGTAAGAGCAGCCAGTGCTCTTAACTGCTGGACCTTCCCTTCAGGTCTCTGTTCTTTCTAAATGGTGTGAGGTGGTGCTCTATGGATCCAATCTATAGTTCCCTTCAATCTCAAGAGTTAAGTCCATTTGTTAGAAATGCCCTTTATGTTAGTTGCCTATGCAAACTGACTGAGTGTATATAAATACAAGTATTTCAATTCTTTGAAAAGTATCTATGGACAGCTAATAAAAACTATTGAAGGTATCTGCTGAAAATACAGAGACAGTAGATAAATATAAAGATTTATGCTAGCAACTCTTAGGGCAGCCATATTCAGGAAGTGCCAAAGAGA